CAGTGTTGAGCGTCCCTGCTGGGTGTCCCTGGCAGAATCAAAGCAAAGATGAAAACTGAGCCACCAAAGCACACTGTGGGCCCCCACAGTTAGACTCAGCCATCATCTGCCCCTCAGAATGGGAAGTCTGAAGGTGTCCACTCTGCCACCCCCTTGTCCACAGGCACAGACAGTCACATGGGCAAAGATCTGACTCCTGCGAGTAAGACCCTCTTGGGACAAGGGATGACCACCCATACGGTCCCCAAATACCAAATGGTACTAGGACATTAAGCATTTATGTCCTGAGATAACGTTTCAACATCATGCAAAATTGTTTCGAATTCAGGATATAGTTTGAAAAGAAAACAATGGCTGGGTGTGGGCATCCAGAGGTGCCTGCTGAGCCTGGCTCTCCTGCTCCTCGGGAGCCTGAGCAGAGCACCAGCACAGACATGTCGCTGTCACTGGTGGCACCATGGAAAAAAGTGGTCCCAGAGCAGAAAACACATCATTAGGGCATTCCCAGGAGAAGACACCACGATTCTTTCAGCTCAATTTATTTTTGGAAGACAGACAAAGAACCTGGATTATCTTTTGGTTCTCACAAGAGGTTTTGTGTTTTTTAATAAAGAGTTCCTTGGTTTTCTTGACAGAATTTCTTTTTTCAAAAAAAAAATAGTTTTGGGTATGTATGTGCCTACTTTGGAAAACCTTTCATTCTTGATGGTGTTTAAAACCCACTTTTAGGTAGTAGGTTCTTTAGCATTTTTATATGACAGCTGATATCAGGCCCCCATTCATTTTGGGGGACTCTCTCTCTACTCAAGTGCCCCGTTTCAGAAAGCAACTTATATAGAATGGAGAGATTTACAGAGTGCCCTTGGCAGGAAAGTCTCACAGTGACAGCCAGCCCCTGCATGGGAGGGTGACCCCAAGGGACAGTAAGCATCATGGCTCTGATTCACCCGGGCAAAACTTAGGCAGAATAGAATGAAGAAACAAAAGGAGGCCAAGAGTCGCTTTCTCTTATATTGTGGATATTTTATCCCTCTCTTTCACAGCAGCAATTTGAATAAACAAGTATGATGCCTGCACCATTTTACCTAGAAAATACCACCAGACAAGAGCTATGGCCATTCAGGCAGGCTCCCCCACGGCCGTGTACAAAGAGATCCTTGCATAGCATGGCAAATGCAGCTGGTCCTTCGGAAAACGGGCCTGTAACGGCTAAGTTAGCAACCCCCTCCCCCAACAAGCTTCCATAGACCAAAAATACCTCTGTTCTCAACTACATAAAGCTTGTGAGTAGCAAAACTTGTAAAAATTAAGTTACAAAAGGAAACATCCATATAATACATTTGCACCCTGTATACAACGTATCCCTTTGAAACTGGCCAACAGTCAAGTATGGCAAATCTTCAGTAATAGAAAAAGAACCCCAGCGTCTGTCACATGCACTCGAGCCAATGGTTTGTGTGGTTTTCCAGAGAGAGAGATTTTCATTTACAGTTACAGTACTTGCTGGCGATTTTTAGGAATGAGTAGCCAGGTGGCTTTCCTGGCATTAGGCAAGTAACATTTGATTGTCACAACGTACAATTCTGAGACAATAAATACAAGCAGATCAGATGCATTTCCTCATTATATCAAGTAACTCCAGTTTAATTTAATACAATTTAGTGCAGTTCAGTATTTCATTCACAGTTCGACTTCTGTCCAAATACTTTTGCAACAAAAAGTTAAGAAATTGAAGAGTTAATGAGAAAAGAAAATTCCAGGTGAGCTTGTCATTACAAAGCCAAAAATTTTAAAACAATTCGATTATCTGTGAAAAGAATATGCTGCTGTTGCCTGAGCTGACCAATGTCAACTTCTCTGATAACTTCCTAGGCTCCCTAAAAGTGCTCTTGTCCTTTTATTTCCCGAGCAGGTAGTGAGAATGCCACCATTTTCCCTGAATTAACTAGCAGCAAGTGCTGGTAATAAAACTTAGTTCATGAGTGTCCACCCCACTCAATCAAGTAGATCACAGGGTGACATCTTTTATCCAAAAGCTGCCCCAGCGTTTTCACATCATGGCCCCCATATGCAAGAATATGGAGCCCAAAAGTCCGCATTACCCCATCAGCCCCACAGCAGGGTTAGAGGACAAGACCAGAGGCCAAAACCATGGCCAGCTCCACTCCTAGGCCTGAGGTGCCCTGGGCAGCTTTGGTGTGGGGACTCACTCACTAGAGCAAGGGGCAGGCACACGGCCCAGGCCGGGCATTGCAGGCAGGCAGGCAAGCAGGCAGGCAGGCGTTTCAGGCTCGCCATGTTAACCCTGAGCCTAGGTCCACTGCAGTGGGTTAGCAGCCATAGCACACCATTGGGCACTAGGTTGCATGCCAGGGACTGCATGCAGCTAGCTACTGGTGAGAAATCCACAGCATGAGTGTATGCGTGGGGTGGTCAATTCAGATAAAAATCGGCAGGTCTGAAAAGATTACATTTGGTTTGTCTTGTGTCTTGGGCAGAGACAAAGCGACATGCAGAAAAAAGTTTTCTTCACCCCAAATCTGACACATAACGGTCTATAGTCACAATGGGTGTGGACGGCCTCACATCTCGACTTGCACATAAGTGTACACACAGCTGGGTCCAACCACTGCTTCTTCTTAAGACTGACCCCAGTGCTCAGCAGT